CCATAAGTTTCCTTCCTGAGGGTCAACCAGAAGTATCGATGCCGATGTATTTAATGGACTAATTAATATTTTTTCTCTCAAGTAGCTTCTGCACTCATGACTCGAATATGTCCTAAATGATCAAATGTGTTGGTTTAGGATTCTATACAGAAGACCATTGATGCATCAGATGAGTGTTGGCAAGAGAACATACCTATAAATTATTTATTTGCACACTTCATTCATATCATTAAGTATACATGAGCATTTATACTTCATATCTATGTTTGATAAATTGTAGGTAGTGTTAAAAGTCAAAAAAATTAGATATTGTGGAATATATCCTAAACTAGAGGAGAAGCCAAACAAGATTTTTGGTGATATTGTTGCTTCTGAAGCTTACACATTAACTCTAAGGTTAAAGTCTCATGAACCTACACAGGGTCCTTGTAATTTTGACCGAAGAGAGAGCTCAAACCTCATTGAGGAATCAGTAAGTGGGGTAGATGATCAAATCAAATCCCGTTATTCAATGTGTAAGTCATCTAATAGTCTAAAAGGTTTGAAAAAAAAACCAAAGAAAGCGGGTGTGAAATTTTGATTGCAGAGTTACTTACTATATGTGCAATAATGACAAGCTTCAAGTGCATTTTAAGCACTAACATCCCTTTTTTTGGCTATCATTATGCTATATCAAAACACAAAAGTCTTCAAAGACATTCCTCTTCATTTGCACTCTATGAAAATGCTTGAAGATGTTAGTAAGAGGGAGATTTTTATGGTTGTGGTTCCTAAGTGAATAGTTCATTATCTCTGCTACTTTTTTGAGAATTAAGGTGTGTAAAATAATAAGAACAACATAAACACTTTTTGCAAATTATTGTAATTAAACTATTTTGTAATGTTCACTAATATTATCTTGTTTTGTTAGCCACTATTGTGCACTTCTCTTCTAATATTTAATTATGAGTAATAATATATCTAACATTACTTATTATTGTAATTTTATTTTTTTTTGTTATTCATTGTTAAGTAATGTATAACTTTTGATATAATATGATGAACTTCTAATTTTCTGTTAACTTTTGAAATTTATTTCTGATGTTCTATATGAATTAACTATGGAATAATTAACTTAAAGCTAGCACGTGAACATAAGATCATTGCAGTCTTTTTCTCAGAATTAACTCTATAACAACATATTAACAAGTGAATATTCCCGACAGATATATTATTTCACCAATAGTAGCTTTCTCGTAATATCTTCTCTAGAATCATCTTCATAGCTGCATCTTCAACCAACTACAGCTACCCTAAATAGACTCTAGTGCATGTTTTTTCTTGCTTTATAGCACTAAAAACAACTCATCAGCTACCTCTAACAAAAATATATATATATTCATTTAGCCTCTATTCAAAATGATAGGGATTTATGTCACCCACTTAACACATTAAAAGCAAAACTCTAGCATAATATATCATCAATCTTAAGTAGACTAGTTTCCACTAAAATATATACTATGCAACTTAATCCTCTAAAATGCATATTTAAACAATTGAAGAAAAGTTTCTAGGTTTCCTACTCACTATTAAAGACATTACAATCTATAAAAAAATCAAAATAAACATGAAAGTTTCCTTTATAATAGCTAAAGAACAACAATGACTTATAAGGTGGCTATAGGTTTTGCAACTTTTAACTCAAATTTTGGATTAAATTTTTAGTTGGTTTACAAAATTCTCAAAAATTTCAACTAATTCCAATGAACTAATGAATGCAACCACACATTGATTCAATTGAATAAAATACTTTTTCTCTCCATGTTTTCTCCAAAGACAACAACCCAATGATAACTTTATCCCCTATATTATAGTGGGTGAGGAGACCATGAATGTTTTTTCCTATAAAAAGAATGGAAAGAAAAAATAGTCATTATATCATATTACCAAACTTCTCTATTAAGTTGAATTGATTGAAATTTTTAATCATAATTAAAATGACTTTGTTGCTAATCATCACTCTTTGGGGACCACCATTCAAATTTTTCCTAGAATTATGAAGGTGAACTAGCATATTTTATCCATTTAATTATTTGAATTAAATAAATACAAAATAAAAATCTATAAAAAGAATATAATGTATTAAACATGTATAATACATTACAAGTAATGTGTGAAAAATGATATTTTCTTATTATAAACAAAAAAAAAAATCCTTAGATTATATTTCTGTGTATAATTTACAAATATAAACTGACACATATCTTTATAATTAACAAATTATTAACTATAATTTTTTTTAATATTAAGTTATTGCCAGTACATATATCCACTATTTGTAATTCAATTTCAACCATACACTCATGAGAAATGCTCTTCAAACTGAATCATAGAGAATGATGTCAATTTCCATCCTGTAAGGCCACCAAAAGGAAATAAAGCTTACATGTCCCAACATAAACTTGCAAAATATGCATATATCATGATTGAGCATAGCAAATAAACCAAAAATAAAGCATCTTACATTTTATAAGATAGCTTCGCCCAATTATACAGACTCACATGATTTACAAGACTCATATAGGGATGTTCACACCAAATTTTATGGCAAAATGAATAACTCATTCAAACCAAAGTTCTGATACGATGAAGATTAACATATGATTAATTAATTGCATCCTCCACCCATCTAGAAAGCAAGCCTTATCAAGCATATCAGTGCTATCAGTTGAACTTGATTAGTTGCTTCTTTGACTGGATTTGATTTTGTAGTATACTTCCCAGGCTTTCGATCATCCTTTGTTGGGTCTGCAAATTCTCATCCTGATGAATGTTACAAGCTTTAGTTTGCAGGACTCCAACATTATCTTTAAGCTGAGAAGTCGAAGAAACAAAAGCGGATTGGATATGCCACCAAGCTTGGAATAGAATAGTAAAACACATCAACATATATCAATTGGTTCATATAAAAATTCAAGGAAGATTTATATAAATACCACTCAGTTTTTATTTTTACATATGTTTATTGAAGAAAGTGGGGGAGGGTTATTGGCTGAGGAGGGAAGACGCGGGAAGGAGCAGCTTGGGTCTCTCGACGGTTGTGAGACGATGCATGGCGAAAGGAGATGAGATCAATATCGAACCCTAGGGAGGGAGACGAAGTGATTCATTAAATTTTCTATATATTTACAATTGCACAGTGGATTCTTTCAACAGGGTCACACCCCGTGATTTTTTCTCTTTCTAAGGTTTTCCACATAAAAATTCAATGTGTCTCCTCCTGCTTATTTGGATCTTCATCCAATAATAAGACACGCTAAATTTTTACTCTACTCCCGTGATATTTCCAGCCTTAAACAAATTTAAAAATAATAATAATAATAAATAAATTTACATGCATATCTTGGATCAATTCCTAAGAATTAACATAACTAACACCTAAATTTTAATTATTACTCATGCATGAGAATGTATATTTCACAGTTTAAAAGTTAAACTAGATGTACTTATAATGTGATATAGAGGATTTGGACGGAATAAATACAAAAACACAGATTAGTTGTTAGATATCTAAATATATTGAATTTGGGTTGTATCTAGAGAAAAATTATTCCACACGGACACCGCATGCAGAAATGCATGCAGGACATCAGATGCAAAAATGCATGCAGTGTCTGATCTACACCGTTGATCACAGCGATGATGGATTTTGGTGGGCCCAATTTTTAATTTTTTTTTTATTAAAAAAACACTGTGATCAACGGTAAAGATCGGATACCGCATGCAAATGCAGTGTCCGTATGGAATAATTTTTCTCTAGAGCCAATTCCATTTAAATTGATCGATTTTATATAGAAAACTTGCATATTCGAGAAGGCCAATTATCTACCCTTAACATAACACCCTAAAAAAAATAAATTATTTTGTTTCCTCATGGATATCCACCCTTTGCAGATCTCCATTTTTTCCTAGCAACCAAAATTAGTTTTAAGACTTTTCCTTGTTAATGCATCCCTTATAATTAACCCAAAACTAAAACAGTCATCAATAAAAACAGTAAATATATCACTAAAACGATTCAAAGTTTATTATTGTCATGTTTTGAACATCCCCACGCTGTCTTAGAATATATAGCTATTGGCACTATTATTGATATATCTACTAAGGTTATGTCTCGGCAGCGTCATCTATTCTTTGTTGACAAATTAATGCTTCTTGATTAGTCAGCATCAATTTGAGGGGGATATCAATCAAAAATAACTGAAATCGGGCAAAATTAAGAGTTTCCTTTTTAAAATTGTTGAATTAAATTCCTTATTTTAATTGCACATATTCTTTATTCATGGCCGAATATTTAGATTATGAATACATATAATTAAATTACCTAAAGTAATTTAAACAAATTATTATGTATTATTAGACTAACTAATATAGACCGTACAAACTATTATTTGTTGGAATGAAGCGAAGAAAAAAGACAAGCAGCCAATTTTCTCAAAAGCTGTCAATAAGTATGGGTGTATTCAACATCTATCTTCAGATTGGCTAAAATCATCAAATATCTAATTCTTTTTAAAACATGTTAGGAAAAAAAATACATCAAGATGGGGGCAAAATTACTAAATTACATAAACTTCAAAAGGAAAAAAAGAAAAGAAAAGATTATGTTATTATATAGAAAACATGCCCAATTATCTATCCTGAACATAAAACCCCAAAAAAATGAATGAATTTGTTTCCTTATATACATATGCACTCTTGCAGATCACTCTTTTTATCATAGCACCCAATATATCCCTTATAATTAGCCCAAAATAAAATAGTCATTTATAAAAACAGTAAATATGCCTCTAAAATGATCCAAACTCTATTATTTTTATGTTCTGAATGTCCCCACACTGTCTTAGAATAGATTGGTTGTATTTATTACTTCACATGCCAAGCATTAACTCAACATCACACCATTTCCTGTATAAATTTATAACTATGGCAGACACAACAGCAGACCTCTTCATCTTCCTCCTCCTCCTATCTGATTATCTGAGATACTGCATATAAAGACATGGAAAGGTGTAATGGGTTAGGTTTAGTGGAGACTATCTACGAAGCAAATCATGAGGAGGAAAGAGAAGAAGGAGAAGAAAATAGTGCGTCTTCCTTCAGAGTTTCAGCTGCAACTTCTTCAGCATGCAGTTTTCCTTCATCGACTCCTGATCTGCAGAGCATTGTAGATGATTGGTAGGCTTTTTAATTTTTATTTTTATTTTTTATTTTTTGTTAATTACTTACTGTTTTTAATTTTCTCATGATTTGTAGGTCGAAGGCTGTGGGATATAATCCTGATGTAGTAATTCAAGTGTATGGAGATTCTTTTCTTCTGCATAGGGTGAGACTTTTAGCTTGTTTGCTTTTTTTTTTTTTTAATTTCATTTATTATTTTAAAAAAAAGAGTTTCTATGCAATATAAAAAATAAAAAATAAAAAAATATTGATCTAAAATGCTGATTTTTTTTAATATATTAGGGTTTAGATTATATATATATATATATATATATTCCTTCACAATTATAGCTCATGATATTTTTATGCGCCTGACAATTTTTACTAAATAATGGCGACTACTAAATTAGTTGCATTTAATGCTCATGCCACTTTTTTTAGTGTCTGACATTTTTGTGGAGAAACAAATTAATAAATTACAAATTTCAAAAATTATTTAAAATATTTATAAATATTTTTTATTGCATTATTATTCATTATTATTATTACAATAATACATTTTTTTACCTTAAAAATACTTATAATTAACGGAATTTATTTATTACCCATGCAAAGGAACCCATGGCATTCCGTAGCCGTTACATTAGACAGATTCTAAGGACAACTAACGAAGCCAGCGTCTCCCCACCGTTAAACATAACGGTCGAGACCTTCACTGAGGTGGCGAGCTTCTGCTACACGGGGGCCGTCACTCTAACGCCGTTCAACCTGGCGGCCTTAACGGCCGCCGGCGAGGTGCTGGGCGGCGGCGGAGAAGGGAGTCTTGCTCAACGGACGGAAGAGTATTTCCGGCGGGAGATCGCCCGAGATGAGGAGAAGGCGGAGGACGTGCTGTGGAGTTGCGTGGGGATACTTCCGGGGTCTGGGGAGGCGGCGGTAGGATTGGCGGCGAGGTGCGTCCAGGTGTTAAGGACGGCCGGAGAACACTGCGGGTATGGGTGGACGGCGAAGCTGGTGGGGATTCCGGCCGATTCGCTTGAAAGAATTATGCGGTCGATGGGGAGTTTGTCCGTACATGATCACGATGTGCTGTACAGAATCGCCGATGAGTACTTCGAGGTTGGTAATCTCGTAATTTTAATTTTTAATTTTTAATTTTTTTATCTCCGTTTAAAAATATGTCCGTGCAGACCAACAACGGAAGGCTCACAGAGGAGGAGAAGCTACGCATCTGCCACACAATAGACCTTACAAAGCTCTCGCATCACCTTCTCATGCAACTCGTCCAAAACTCCTCCTTTCCACTCCGCTTTATATTAAAAGCCATGCTCCACCCCCCCCCCCCCACCACCACCACCAAAACCACCACTCTCAGCGACTTGCTCGATCGCGATGCCGCCGCCCGCCCAGCCCCCGCCGGTCAAACCATAAGCTTTCGGTTTATTCATGCGGATGCCGGTGAGAATGGACCGGCCTCCGCTGCTTCGCCGGAGAAGAGCGGCGTCGGGAAAAGGAGGGGCTTGGGAAGGAAGCTGGTGGAGGGGTTTAGAAGACTGTTCAGAAGGGATAGGGAGGGAAAATGATGGTGAATAAGTATTTGGCTCTTTATAATTAATTTGTTAACCGTTTAATTTTCTTGATTTTAGAAGTTAATATTTACTTAAGAAAGTTAATTATGATGGGAAGACTCTGACATTAGTTGTCAAAATTATTTAGTTTGTTTTAATTTTTTTTGGTTAATTAGGTTTTAGAAGGTGTGGCTTTAGTGAAGATTATGTTGCACGAAATTTAAGGCATTGTTAATTTCTTTTCTGCATTAGTTTGCGATAATAAGGGTGCAGAATAATTTGTACTTATGGAATGAAAAACGTCTATGCGAGCTATTACATGATCAATGTCAACGAAGTGTCATTATTTGGTCAACGCAATTTTGCCATCATTATCCTCTATTATTTATCCTATAATCTTTATAACAATCATGACGGATCAAGTTAGTATTTTAAACTATTTAATTTTGACTTCGATAACACTATTTATATTTAGAATCATTTTAATTGCGTCGCATCTCGTGGCTTATTTTCGGTTTGGAATTTTTCAAATAAAAATGTTGATTTCACTTATTTTTTTATTGATATTTATTAGATAATTATACATGTTGAACTCTTTTGAGAGGTAAAGATTTGGTTTTTAGGAGGAATGTATGTAATGAGATGATGGATGTATTGTTAGAGTTTGTGTCTTGCACTATATTCTCTCATAATTCTTGGGTAGCCCGGAATTAACTCAAAGGAAGGGTCTTTGCTCTCCAATAATGAGAGCCGAGAGAGAAAGAAAGTGTTGTTTCTCCTCGATCTTATATATCTCTCCTCGAAGCTCCCCCTGACCTCACTTTTATACATGAGAAAAAAGGAACATAAAATTACATTATGTTTACACTACGTATGTCTGTGATGTATTGGTGAAAATATTGCAATGCGGGTGTCATGTAGCCTAAAGTAATGATGATGCTTTCCATCGGCTTGTTTGCCTCAAACTAGTTCGACGGTAGGTAGATTCGGTTTGACCACTTTGATATGTGGGTTGAACTCAACCACTTTGATGGGTGGGCTTAACTTGAGATGATCTGATCATCAGATATAAGCCTTTGAAGCCCATAAGATTTGTTGAACCTTATGTTATGCCCCTAAAAATATATTATTTAAGTATATGATTGTAATTGGGTATACAATACAAGACTAAGATGTCAAATTTTTTTCTATGATGTCGAAAGTGTGAAATTTTTATGATATTTATCATTAATATATATATGTGTGTGTGTGTGTGTGTGTGCATGTTTGTGTATATGAATGTATATATGCATGCATGTGTATATGTGTGTAGGTCTCCATGGGTATATGCATACATGTGTATATGCATGTAGGTATGTATGCAAGTGTATATGTCTGTATGTGCCCACACACACATACACACAAGTATTGAGTGGTATGTATTACAATCTTATTATTTATAGACATAAGCATTGAGAGTTAGCTTTGTATAAAAGCAGGTTCGAGTGTGATTAGAGTTAGCTTTGAGGTAGTCATGAACTATGATTGGATGTTTGGGTGTTTTTTTTTTTTGCCTGAGTCATTCAGCTTGATAAACTAATGTGATTGTTGATGTATTAAATATAAAGTTCATTGGTGTAACAATTTATATAGAGTTTTTATACTTTTTTTACAGAAGAGAATTAAAAATGCTTAAAAATTAGATGACGATACGCAAGATTAATTTATCAAATAAAATCAGAAAAATGAGTTGAATTTCATGTAGATTAGCGTGGCAAGTTGACTTGTGATACTTAAATTTTGGTATTTACTAACGATAATCTGAGAAGAGAGTTATTACATAGAACTCATTATTTAAGATACGCAATTCAACGAGAGTGCAAAATAATATATTATGATTTAAAGCCAATTAATGGCTTGCGTTCAAGCTGCAAGTGATAGAGTTGTTTCGAGATATGAGTTCTATTAGGGGGTAAAAGTTGAGCAACCAAAGATCCAATAGTTTATTATAACATTTGTCTATTTACGAGTTGAAGTAGGAGAGGATCATTAGATTTTATTATGGATCTGACTTTAATTTTCAAATTGGTTCATTTTATTAGCATAGAGCTATTCTAAGACGCCTTTCATTTAACTTTATTCAACCAATTTTGACCATAAGTATTATCAAACGAGCCACCATGACCCACTTAGAATCTGTATGGTCTCAATTTGATTTAATCCAATTAATTAATCTAATAGGCTTGAGCCAAGGCTCATGAACCTTGAGTAAAAATCTAAATAGGGAGGTAACTGTTATGACTGAGGAGGTTCAAAATCTACTTGAAGGCCAACAGAGAAATAGGAAGAGTATAGCACGAGTGACGTAGATTTTAGAGGATCGTAGGGGAAAGTGAATGATGACTGCTATAGTTGAGGAAGAGGATAAGACAGAGGAGGATGTGTGGGAGGATTAAAAGAAGTTCTTATGTATTTTTTTAATTTATGAATTGTTTGAACTGATATTAATCAGGGTCTATATGTAAACCTTTCATTACTTAGATTTGCGATAATATCTTCTTATTTAGTAATTATATTTGTAAGAGCTTTGATCTGTTATGTGACTGTACATAATGTTGTTATGATGTGGTTAAATGTTGTGTGCAAGTTGTAACATTGTAATTAGTTTTTTAAATTTATTTTTTTGAAATTTTGCGTCCAATAATCCGACGCGTTGTCCATCGAACTAAGCCTGATGCAAACACGACGTTAATCAGACGATTTTATTTTATCTTCTTATGGTTTCAGATGCAAAATTTGATGCACGTGCAGATTAAACAAGTCTGACGCTATGACAACTAAAAAGCTGACACTAATAATTTGCACGAGACTATTTTGACGCAAAATTAACGAAATTAACATTATCGATCTCTGAATTGCTCACAGAAAAAAAAACGGACGTAAATCAGAAGTAAATCCGACGATAATCCTCAAATAGCATCAAATTTACGTACGATTTGCGTCCGATTTAAGGGACACAAATTTACTGAATACCATTAGCAGGTGAATCTAATCTAATATAATCCAAAATTTCACCCAATATCAATATATATAATAAACTTTTTTTCCTTGCTTAAATATCACCATTAACGATTAAATGAAAGTGCTTGGCCGGTCCCGCCAATGCTACACTGCTGACATCTGTCGCTCACTGTATCCATAACCTAAATAATAATTCTATTTTTATCATCCCAAAATCAAATTAAACTTAATTAATGTTATCTTATCGACTTAATAATTAACTAAAAGCCAGCTTAAAGTTCCATTACGTTAGATCCAACAAAACAACGCCAGCATTTGGATTATCATTAAGAGTGGTGAAGTGACTATCGAGGACTCCAACACGAAGTCAATCACCACTAATTTAAAAGTGAAATCTTACACTGACTTCCACTTCTACAATCATTAGCCTCCTTAATCATGTGAAGTAAAGTCCTCAATATCACTATAATATCATATTACATCTTAAATATTTTTTTAAAAATATCTCTTACGCATAATATATGTAGTGCCGAGTCAACAACACCTTAACGGTTGAAAGACAATGCCATCACGCCCAATCTAGATTTAGAACATGAGAACATTATAGTTTAGTACGATGGTGCAACGCCCCATCACCTCTTTGGAGCATTGCGGCACTAATAGTAGTGCCGAGCCAACAACACCTTAACGGTTGAAAGACAATGCCATCGCGCCCAATCTAGATTTAGAACCTGAGAACATTATACTTTAGTACGATGGTGCAATGCCCCATCACCTCTTTGGAGCATTGCGGCACTAATAGTGTGGTATCCCGACGCAAGTAAATTACTTTGGGCACAATTTCAACTAAAGTTTCAATTTTGTTGAAAGGAAAGTAAATGAATTTAACTTCCTCTTCTCCAAATGACAGAATATGAGTGTCAACGAGTTCTCAAAGTGTAGAAAGGCTTGAGTGTGGTGTTATTTGTGCGATTCTTTTTATTTATTCATCGTAAATTTTTCAGTGTAGTGTGATTCAATGATTTTTTTTCTTATTCTTACATTTTCCACGTTAAATATGATGTTTCTTATATTTTCTTATTTTGTGTGCATCTGTTAAAAATTTTAATTCAATTCTCTCGAATCTGTGTTTTCGTGATTGACATCTCTCAACACACTCATCCTACCGAAAAATATACATGAAAGTCTCAACATATACTTTAAAATGTTAAATTGATGTCATTAATTTCTTTCAAATATGTTAAATGATGAAAAATAAATTAGATTTACAACATTGCTTATAAATTTCTTTGATCATCGGGGGTATGTAGCTTGTAATTGCACTTCTTTCATCACACTTGGAACAATTGCAAAATTGAGGTCAAGATAATAATTTTATTACAATGGGCACAATTTTTCGGCTCATAATAAAATTGCACCGCATCACATGACAGATCAATTAAATAAAAAAAATATTATATATTTTAATGTATGATTGGTACATAATTCTATTAAAATCTTCGATGCAATTATATATATATATATATATATTTATTTATTTATTTATTTATTTATTTATTTATTTATTGCATAAGTACACGACAGCCTGCAGAATTGCAATCGTGCTTCTCGTCTTCCTCGGCAGCTGAGCCGTATCTCCGCTCGATAGCTCCGAAGCGAAGAAGTCTTCAAACTCTAATGGATCCAAAGATATAGCTGACCTCCTGAATAATTATCTTCATCATCAAATTCCTTTCTCTCGCCATTTTCTCTGTTCCCCTCTTCGCATATCACTCTCTCTCTCCGACCCGTTACTCTAATCCCATGTCATCGATTCTCTTCTTTCCACCGGCGATCTATACGGTCGCGGTGAAGTTAGGGTTTAATGATTCTCGCGGCCGGCGATTCTGGAGTGCCCGCGCGGGGGGAGTTTCCAAGCGGTGGTGTCTGGGGATGCGGTCGATCCGGGCCGACACAGCGGCTGAGAGGTTCGGGAGACGGAATGGGGGGCAATTTGGACCTACTGGCGAGTGCGATTGCGACATTCCGGGTAATTTTTCTTTAACTGTTCTATTGAGTGGTCCTCGGATGGTTGATTCTGGAATCTGTTGGTCTGGAGGATTTTCTTTACTGGTGTGATTTCGCTGTCAAGGTGGAATTCTCTTGAACGCATATTGGGTAGTCATTTTTCCGACCTGAGATTCTCTGTCCATATTCATTGAACTGGAGAGTGAAATTACTCTACAACACCTTCCTTTTTAAAAAAAAAAAATTTCAATTTACATTTCTTTATTGGTGTGCTTATAGTTTTGGTAAGAAGATTTTATAACTTATTACTGCTTTGCTTTAAAAAAAGAAAGTTTAGCTAAATTTTAATATTTCTTTTCTGGTTAGAATTTCAGCTTTTAGTTCTGCAAGGTAATAATTAAGTTACAATTTGGATCAAACAGCTTGCTAGAAATCAAAATTTAGACTAAAAAAGCCTATAATGATTGGTATATGTTAGATATTTTACAAGTAGATAATGAATTTTTTGTGAAATTATTTACATGAACAATTGAATTTGGTGTTATTCATGTTGAACGTCGATCTGAATTCTATTGACAGATTACTGAGCCAACTAGGCTTCCCTCCGGCGAACAGCAAACCACTCTTTACTCATAGAGTCAAAATTCAAAATTGGTTTTAGAAATTGCACTAAAAGTGTGTTAAGATTAATGCTTCATCTACCCATGTTGGAGAGGCTGATGCTCACCTAAAATCCATGATGGTGTGATGAAGCATCATTGATTACTATGGGCGGAACCAACCCCTTTCTTGAGGATGGGCAAACTTATTAAGTTAATAAATTACTATGAAAAAAATAAATAAATATTCTTTCTATATGCTTTTATTTTTTTTCATTTATTATATCTCAGATGTCTCATAAAACAAATATAAGATTCTCTCAAAAGATTTCCTCCAAAAATAAAGAAAATAAAAAAAAATACTGTCTAAATTTTATTCTTGGATTTACAATAATAAGAAGATTCCATGCTATATTATGAGTGTTCAACATATGAATTATCCCATGTGACAACTTAGCTGTAGTAGGAATCTGCATTATTTATTTGTTCTTTTTTTTTATAATGTTCTCTTTTATTTGTTTTTCTTTGTTGCTTTTTTCTCTTGTATGTATGCACATATATACTTGTACTAGAAGCCAATTTAATAAAGACGCAACCTTCTATGTTTCTACCGTTTGAAATGTTATTAAAAAAATCAAGCTCCATGATACCGCATTGGTTATCCAACTTAGATACATCATAGTCGACCACTAAGCACTTAGCCTCCTGTATTTCTTATAGATTTGCACATCTCTTTGATCTCTTATGTTATCTAATGTGACGATAGTGGTGAATCTTGTTCTCACTATGCCAATGCTCTCTACCAATATTCTTTGTTAACAATCTCTATTAACTCTAACAATACTCTCCATCAGCACTATATTAGTACCTTCATTCAAGGATAGTCTAACACAAAATCTTGTTGTCATTTCTTTGCACATAATCTACGCTACAGCTGTTTTGATGATTTGAACGAGCACGTCTTGTGGCACTTAATATCTTTGGGAAATAAAATTTTTGACTCTTTCATGTTTTTGTCATTACTATTTCTGTACTCAAGTTAAGATTTTCTGTCACCTTGGTTAAGATTTTCTGTCACCTTGAATGTGCAGGGGAGTGAATCGTATCTACATTATCTATTAGTGGACTTTACATACATACCAATAAATTATTATTTATTTAAATCTAAATCTTTATATTTACTTTTGTAATAGCTTAGTATCTAAAGCACGTCAAAATCTATGCATGAAAATAAGTGTTTCATTTTTGATAAGTTAATGTTAGCGGCGTTTTTTATATGATTTAGAGATTAGACTTTTATGGAAGTAAATATAAAGATTTGGCCATTCAACACCTAAATAGATAAGAATTTAATGGTATGCATGTAAATCCCCTGATTTATTATTGTAATATTTGCTTATTTTCTTCCCTAGTTAATTTTTTTATGTGAAAAGTTAACTATGTAAATCCCCTATTTGTGCTTACACTAAAAGATAATTCAATTAAAATATTGTCCTTATTGATTCACTTTCTTCTAATGCTCCCTTGAACTCTATTTTAGAATGGAAATTTAACTCAATAAATTCATCATTTCCTTATGCTCCTTTGAACAAACATAACTTTATTTGAGAGTGATCTGTTCTTAACATAATGCTCTTCCCCTCTCTATAATTGCCGTGTATACTACCTAAGCACCAATTTTCCGAAGCTTATTCAAAAAAAATATAAATAAGCTTTGCTACATTCCTTTGTTACTTAACAAGGCAGATGGTTGAAATTCTCAACATAATCATGTAAATGAAGAAAAGGAGTTAACTCTAAGAACTAACAAATGCTAATTCAATGTGATAGAGCTGTGTATGGATTTTTAATTTTTATTTTTTGTTAATTACTTACTGTTTTTAATTTCTTTATTACATCCATGCATGGGTAGTTCTGTAAGTTTTGAATTTCATGCTATCATCATCAAGTGTGAATCTAATATAACTCACTTTGTCACTGTTCTTCACATAGGGAGAAACTCTCCCACACTTTCAAATGTGGGGAATTCAACGAATATCGCATGGCACGAATGTCCTGTCGGAAAACTCGAAAGGCAGAGTTTACTCAATCAGAGAGGATGTGTGATTTGGATCACAGGTCTCAGTGGCTCAGGTTTGTCGGTTAAGTAGCCCGGACATATAAATGTCGTTTTTTCTTGGTGGTTATTTATTATAAATTAAAAGTAAGATTTACATGCATATCACTTAATTCCTATGTATTTACATTTCTAACACATAAACTTCAATTTTTGCATATATGCCACCTTACCTATGCATGAAAATGTGTATTTCACTTTTTAAAAATTAAAATAGTAATATTTTGATGTGATATGAAAGATTTCGTATGAAAGATTTCGGTGATATAATTTCGGTGATATAAATGTAAAAAGTAAAGTTTAGGTGTTAGACATGTAAACACATAAGACCTGGGTGGTATTATGTACATGCGCCAAATTATAAATAAGATCAAGTGCGTTGAGAAAGGAATAAAAAGATTGAGTAGAGATACAAATAGCTAGTCTCTTTGGCAAGTTAGCCCTTCTCTGTTTTTTTATTTCTTTTGCCAGTGAAGCCATGTATAGAAGAACCTGGGTTGTTGATTCAATTTTATCTTAATTTGCTATAATTTTCTTCATGATAGTTTTGCAAGGCATGCTGATTAAATATCTTACGAGTGGATGACCCTTCTTGCAAGCATCTAAATCCTACATTATCTATTTCTTGCCTATAATATTATGGTGCATTTACATACATGCCACAAAATTCTTCTATATTTACATATCTAGCACCTATACTTTACTTTTTTTACATGTATACCTCCCAAGTCTTTCAATCAAATAAAAAATGCCTCCATTTTTACTTTTAAAAAATAAAATGCATATTTTCATGCATTTGTAAAGTGGTATTTATGTAAAAATTAAAGTTTAGTGTTTAGATACATAAATGCTAGGAATTGAGTGATATATATGTAAGTCTCCCTACATGTATTTTTGACTAGAGGAATCATCGGTGAATATTAACCTTTGATTCATATTTCAGGCAAAAGCACATTGGCCTGCACCCTCAGTCGAGAACTACACGCCCTCAGTTATCTTTCTTATGTGCTTGATGGCGACAACCTAAGACATGGTTTGAACAAAGATCTTTGTTTCAAAGCTGAGGACCGCGCCGAAAATATACGCAGAATCGGTAATTTCTCAAGAACCCTGTTTTTCAAGCTCTACCCATACATTTCATCTATATACTTTTCTGATTTTTCAATATTAACCTTTGATTCATTTATTGTTCTTTGAAGGTGAGGTAGCAAAACTCTTTGCTGATGCTGGTGTCATATGCATTGCTAGTTTAATATCTCCCTACAGAAGAGACCGGGATGCATGCCGGGCGATGTTGCCTGACTCTACCTTTATTGAGGTGGTTTTTGTTTATTTGTTTGTTTTGATTTGGTTTCTTTGCAACTCTTGTGGACTAATTTGAAATTTTATTAAAATGCATGTTTTCTCAAGGTTTACATGGATATATCATTGGAGGTCTGTGAATCGAGGGATGCGAAGGGATTGTACAAGCTTGCCCGAGAAGGAAAAATAAAAGGTATGCTTCATGTTTCAAATATATTTTTTATTAAAAGTTACAAAAACAACAACAAAAAGCCTTTATCCCACTAAGTGGGGTTGGCTCCATGAATACTTTTTCTCCATTGT